CTCGACGCGGCCCAGGGACGGGGGCGGGGCCCCAGACGTCCAGGTGCAGGGTCTGCAGCGGCGCGGCGGTAGGGGGAAACGAGGAGGACTGCGGGGCACGGCGAAGCCGACCCTCAACACAAGGCGTGCAAGGTGGGGCTGGGGAGGAGGGAAACGCGGGGAGGGAACCTGGGAGACCAAGGACAAGACCGTGCTGGGACATGTGACGCAGACGCGGGAGCGCAGGGTGACCTAGGCGGTGGTGCCAAAGGAGAGTTGGGTGAGTGAGGGACTGACAGGAGCAGGCAGCAGCAACCTGGGTAGACGCAGCCACCTGAGGAGGCACCCCAGCCGGGGGGGTTACGGTGTCCAAAGTGAACAGGCCGGACACCGGGTCCCGGGGGAACGTGGACAGGGGGGCACCAGTGGCGGCCTCGGTACAGACAGCATACCGCTCGTGACCAGGGAACGTAGTGGTGACGCCAAGGTCCTGGAGGCAGCTGACACCAACTAGGTTCCTGGAGAACGAGGGGATATGCAGACCTGTGAGAGAGCCCGAAGGAACCGCCGGACAGGGAAGGGTGGTGGAACTGCGGGCGACGACCGGACCGCCAGAGGGGTCAGCAAGAGAGACGGCAGCTGGGTCAGGAAGCGGCGTCAGGGTGGTAGAGTCGCGGAAGAAACACCGAGAAGCGCCAGAGTCCAAGGTGAAGGAAAGCGAAGCAGAGGCGTCTGGCAACGGAACGACGGCGGAAGCACCAAGACTACACAAAGCAGGGGATCCTACGCCTGACGCAGCAGGGGAGGCTAAGCTAGGCACACCTACACTAGGCAACAGTGAGTAATAAGCGGGAAGCACACTAGAGTCATCAGCATACATCATATGCAGAGCAGCAACAATGACATCCATGTCCATATGAAAGATCTGAATCTGTCGACTAAGCAAACTGTGCCAGTCCGGGAGGTCTGGCGACGGGCCGAAGCGCTGAAGAAAGAGGTCGTCCAGGCGACGAAAACAGCGGGGAGTGGAGTGACCGAGCCTACCGCAAACGAAACCGCGGCGAGGACCAGTCTGGATCTGGTACTGACAACGCCCGCCACCAGAGCCCCCACTCGGCACACCACCACGCGCCCGGCCACCGCCAGCGCCGGGCCACCCGGGCGGGAGGACACTCGTCTGCCGCGTCTGCGACGGCTGCTGCGGTTGCTGCGAAGGCTGCGACTGCGGCGGCTGCTACGGCTGCTGCAACTGCAGGGGTGGCGGCTCAGCTGGACTGGGCAGGGTCCCCTCGTCCGCTCCAGCACCAGACGACCCAACCCCACCACTACCCCCTCCCGCACCCCCGCCGCCGCCGCCGCCGCGCCCAGCCTTGGGGCGGCGGCCCTTCCCCGAACGAAACTGCGCTGCAGCAGCAGTCTCAGCCACTGCGGCAGAGCCGTCGGAGAAGGTACACTGGGCGGGGGCACAACCCTGAAAGATAGGGACCGGCACGACACCGCTCGCCTGGGCGATGGAGCGGTGACGGGTCTCTATCACAGTCAGGGTGTCGACAAAGTCAGTGAGGGTGAGGTCGGCGGGGTGAATGCTAAGGAAGCGGTCGCGGGCGACAGCAAGGCGGTCAGGGAGGCGGGTGGCAAGCAGGTAGAGGGTAGAGGTAATGGGCGGCTGGTGTGCTCTAAGCTGTGCATCAGTGCAGGCTGCACGCCAGGTCTCATCTATCGAGCGCAGGTGGGCAGCGAGGTCAGAGACAGTGGGGAAAGACGCAAGGTCAGAAAAGAGCATCGGGAGGATGAGGCGACCCACCGAGGCAGCCAGAGGGGTGGAATAGCGCTGGATGACAGCATCTAAGTATGCCTGAGCAGTGGTGAGAGACCTAAAGCGAGGGCGCTCGGACGGGGGAAGGGCGTTGCTGATGGCAAGCTGGGCGACAGCATCGCGAGAAAGCCAGACAGAGCGCGCACGAGCAGTGGCAGCAGTGGACTCGCGCTCAGTGGGTGTGGAGTCAGCAGGCAGAATAGCAGGGGGGTCTGGGCAGGGGAGCGTTCCGTCAAGGTGTGCGGAAAGCGGTTCACCATCCTGCCGCTGGCCAGTGAGTTGGCGACGGAGGTCGGCAAGCCACGCCTCGAACTCCAGAGGCTGGCCTTCAGCGTCGAAGCGAAGCTCCGCCGCCATCAGGAACAGTGCAGTGCGGTGCAGGGCAGTGCAGCAAGGTGGAGTGCGGTGACGTGCGGTACAGTGCGATGCAGTGCGGTGCAGTGCGGTGTAGGGCGGTGCAGTGCGGTGCCAGGCAGTACAGGGTGGTGCGGGGCAGTGCAGTGCGGGGCAGTACAGGGCGGGGGGGGGGGGAAACCGTACCAGTGAGGAGGACCGGGGCCGGGGCAGGGACGAGCGCAGGGGCCGGGCCGGTGCAACGGGGCCGGGCGGGCGCGACGGGGCCGGGCGGGCGCGACGGGGCCGGGCTGGTGCGACGGGGCCGGGCCGGTGCGACGGTGCCGGGAGGGTGCGACGGGGCCGGGCGAGCAGGACGGTGGCCCAGGAGGGGCGCACCGGGGCTGTGCGGGCGCGACGGGGCCGGACGGGTGCGACGGGGCCGGGCGGCTGCGACGGGGCCCGGCAGGGGGCGACGGGGCCGGGCGAGTGCAACGGGGCCGGGCGGGCGTGACGGGGCCGGGCTGGTGAGACGGGGCCGGGCTGGTGCGACGGGGCCGGGCTGGGGCGACGGGGCCGGGCGAGCGCGACGGGGCCTGAAGGCGTGACGGGGCCCAGGAGGGGGGGGGCTCGACGCGGCCTAGGAGGGGCGCTACTGGGCCCAGGAGGGGCACGACGGGGGCCCAGGAGGGGCGCTACAGGGGCCCAGGAGGGGCGCGACGGGGCCCAGGAGGGGCGCTACGAAGCCCAGGAGGGGCGCGACGGGGCCCAGGAGGGGCGCTAAGTAGCCCAGGAGGGGCGCGACAAGGCCCAGGAGGGGCGCTACGGGGCCTAGGAGAGGCGCGACGGGGCCTGGGAGGGGCGCGACGGGGCCCAGGAGGGGCGCTACAGGGCCCAGGGAGGGCGCGACGGGGCCCAGGAGGGGTTTAGGGTTTAGGGTTTAGGGTGGACACTAGGACACAGGACGTGCAGAAACATCTCGCCGGCTCCAGCTACAGCTACAGTCGCCGATATCTGCACGTCGAGATGTTTCTGCACGTCCTGTGACCACCTCCGCTGGTTGATGCTAACGCTCTCCAGTGATTCCCCAGTGCCGCTCAGTTCTCTGAGTGCCTTAATACTTCAAACCTAAACCCTTGCCACTGACGCCGCTGGGGCGTTCGCACCGAGACCTGGACAGCAGTCTCATGAGGCCTTAAAAATCCTCATGTTTTTGCACGTCCTGTGTCCTAGTAGGCCAAGTGAATCCCTTCGATGGGAGAGGTTTTGGGTTCAATCCCCGGCGCACGTAGAGTGTGACCACCTCTGCTGGTTGATGCTAACGCTCTCCAGTGTGCCGCTCAGTTCTCTGAGTGCCTTAATATTTCAAACCTAAACCCTTGCCACTGACGCCGCTGGGGCGTTCGCACCGAGACCTGGACAGCAGTCTCATGAGGCCTTAAAAATCCTCATGATTCTGCACATCCTGTATCCTAGTGGGCCAAGTGAATCCGGTGGGAGAGGTTCTAGGTTCAATTCCAGGCGCACGTAAAGTGTGACCATCTCCGCTGGTTGATGCTAACGCTCTCCAGTGATTCCCCAGTGCCGCTCAGATCTCTGAGTGCCTTAATACTTCAAACCTAAACCCTAAACCCTAAACCCGCGTGTCAGACATTTGCTCCAGAATTTACCCTTTGTTTCATGAACCAATGGGCGTTTCAATATGTCGAATGTTTTTCTTTCCGTGTCATCCAAGCGTCCTTGCGAAATGGGTTTTTTTTTCTCGAAGCCTACAAAAACTTTAATTTCATGTGTGACCCAGGTGTGCATTTTTAGCCTGTGGGTTTTAATGCCTACAACCCAGATGATTCAAATGCGCTTCGTATTAACTTGTGCTTTTTAGTTGAAGAAAACTTGAGAAACCCCCTAAGTGAGGGGCAAGTACTGAAATAGATGAATATATGCGAAAAAATGGTGACTAAGTGTGGCAGGAATTATGGTCAACCACCATCCGAACGCCAACACCCTCACTTATGTTCGCGAAACTTTCCATATTTTCGTCAGGCCCAGAGCTGCAGTGTTACGACCCTTTTAGAGAAACCCGTGTTTGCTTATGATGTCCGACCTTGTGTCGCTTTACTTTAGCAGGTGCTGTAGTGTCTCCTTTTAACGAGTACAAAGCACCTTTCTCCTGCTGCCCTTACTCTCCACCAGGGCTTATGCTAACAGGATAAATGCCCGTTTTTGACTAATTTCAAGGCAGAGTGTGACTAAACCCTGTAGCTCAAAGGGTTCGGTTAAAACCCTCCCGTAAAGTTCAGGTTTGTTTTGGGAGACACCCTTTATGTATGGAAAGTTTTCAGGGAAACCCGTTTCTTTTTTAAGTCTTCCCCCCCCCTATCCACCCCCGTCCCTGCCCCCCACCCCACCCCCTTTGGTTTGTCATTTCACACCTGTCATATTTTCCCAATCTGTGGCGATTTTGTACCCTCCTTCTCACTCGCCCCTCTCTGCTTTGCCTCACTCCTGATTTATAAATCAAATCAATATTCCAGCCTCGAATTTGTCTCAGAGACGAAGTGTGTCTAAGTTTTCATGCCAACGCTAAGGCAGAATGTCATGCCTTGGGATTTTGTAGCGCGTGTGGTATACAGAGGTATTTTTTTGTTCCCTACCGACTGCCTCAGTGGTTGTGCAATTTATGTATCCCAAGGAAGTATTGTTCGACTCCTAAGAGTTGTTTTAGTGCAAGCTCTTTTTTTCTAAGGGACAATTTCTTCTGAGCCGTTATTTTAAGGGTAACTTTTGATGGCCGTCCTTTTCGTCCGAGCGCCCCAGAAACCTAGCATAAGCCCTGCTCTCCACCCTCCCCCCCACCCTCTCCCCCCCCCTCCCCCCTCTCCCTCCCTCCACGAACTCCGCACTAACCCTAAATTCTCCTCTCCGTCTTTCTCACTCCTTTCCCGCGTAGTCTGTTCCCTTCTCTCCTCCCCACACGTCACAATGGTGAGCATTAGCGGCAGAGGGGGGTGTGATACGTTCGTGGGATCCCGTTAACTCGCGTGTGTCAGCTCGTTTGACGCGTCTGGCGAAATGCGACCAGGGTCGATAATTGATGGTGGTTGTGAGAGAAACGTTGGGCTTTCGGCTCTTGGTCGTTCTTCCTTCGAGCGTAGCTTTTGCGAACTGCTCTACTTCTTTCTCTGTCAATCGCCGTCATATTTCTATCATTGCGTCGTTCCTCGTGTCATCGCGTGTGCTCCCGTTGTGCAGGTGAAGTACGCGAGGGAACCCGCCAACGCTACAAAGTGTACGTTTCACTTAAGTTTGCAGTCGAGTATCAAACGTATATATCCGAACAAATTCTTTTAGACCCGATTAGTGGTCGTCGCATCACAGAAATTCCTGAATCTTCGCGTCTACGACTAGTGGACCGTCCGATGATCGTCTTCGCGCTTTTCGTGGAGCATTCTGCAGCCTCGTCCGCATTTCGGCTTGGTCATAGGTCAACAGTGTCGGCATAATATCGTGTCCTTCAACGAACGAGCTGGGATCTATTGGCCGCAAAAATTCGCAGGCCACTGTATGTCGGCGACTGGGCTACTCGTTTAGGTCCTTGCACTAGAGCCAGCATTTGGAACGGTCGCCTAGGCAGTCTCACAGCCAGCAATTTGGAAGCAAGTCTGGATCTCAAGGTTTGGCAGCTTTGCTTTGTGGTTCAGTTAACCCTGAATGTAAATGCTATTCGCGACTGATGCATCGCAACCTATCGGTGAACTAGCGCCCCGCTATTCGAACAATTTGAACTCGCTCTAGTGTGCTAGTCTCACATCTTCCTTCCCTTCCCCCGTCTGTCCGTTCTCTCGCCTTCTCCCTCCTAATATACTACGTATCGCCTTTTTACTTTCTTTCTTTTCTCCCCCCTCCTTGCACTCGCGTCCCGTTGCGTACCTTGCTGCAGCATGCAAGGCGCGAGGTTCATACTTCCGCGTCCACTTTAAGGTAAGAATCGTTTTTTCTGTGTAAAGTACTGTTTCATCTGTGTATGAGGATTAAAAACACCAGTTGCAGCATGCAAGGCGAGACTTCCGCGTCCACTTCAAGGTACAGAGCCGCACCCCGTCCCGTCCCGCTTCCCCCACCCTCCTCTCAAACCAATGCTGCGCCTCCCCCCTTATGTTCCTCCTTTCATGCTACAGCCCCCCACCCCACGCGTCCCCCTCCGCCCCCGCCTTCGCGTCTTTCCCGCGTTGCGTTCCGCTCCTAAACCCTCCTTGCAATCACAAAATGGTATGATGCATGGTCCCCCTCTTGCCCTCCCCTCCAAAGTGTTTATTCCTCCAATTCTGTTCATAAACACGCGCGAGACAGCGCACGCCATTAAGCACATGGATCTCCTAAGGCCCAACTCTCCCTTCCCCCCGTTCCCCCCACTCACCCTCTCGCCCTCTTAACCACTCCCCCCACTCACGCCCCGCAGAACACGCGCGAGACAGCGCAGGCCATCAAGCACATGGACCTCACCAAGGCCAAGCGCTTCCTGGAGGACGTCATCGCGCACAAGCAGGCCGTGCCCTTCCGCCGCTTCTGCGGGGGTGTCGGCCGCACCGCGCAGGTGAGATAGCTGCACAGGCATGGGTGTGGTGAGGGGTGGGTGAGGGGTGGGTGTGAGGTGCACATACTGTTTACCCTTACGCAGGCCGTGCCCTTCCGCACCGCTTCTGCGGTGGTGTTGGCCGCACCGCGCGGGTGAGGGCGATGTGAGGGGGAGGTGAGAGGTGGGCGGGAGATTGGGGGGTGTGGGGGGCGTAACAGCGCACCGAGTGGACAGCAGGTCAATGGCGTCGTCGCGCACTAGCATGCCGTGCCCCGCCGCCGCTTCTGCGGTAGCGTGGGGCACACCTTGCATGTTAGGGGTGCGGGGCGAAAGGTGCTGTGGAGAATGAAGGTTACGGCTGGGCACGATCTGTCATTATACTTCGCTCCTCGCTTAAGTGCTTCCGCAACTCCTCAATTCTCCGTAAAAATCTTCTTCATCCCGCTTCCCGTTACAGGTGAAGCTGGTGCACACCAACGGCCAAGGCCGGTGGCCCGCCAAGTCGGCGCGGTTCCTGCTGGACCTGCTCAAGAACGCCGAGAGCAACGCCGAGGTACGACACACACCCAATCAGCCCTGGCGACAGGGCACACGGCTCCTCAATCAGCCCGCCGGTATGAATCGCCCCCGCGCTGTACATGGTGTCCTGCGGCTGCCCGCTATCTCCCGTGAGGGCGCAATCGTGGAACTGTGAAATTTGGGAGCGGTGGCGGAACGGAAGCACGGTAACTTCGTAAGTCAACTCAGACTCAAAGGTCACGTGGTAGCGGCAGCGGAACGGGAAGCAGAAGGCGGAGTGGATACGCTGCTTTGCGTTATCGGCCATAACAGGTTCCGAGTTGAGGATCAGGATGTTTGAGTCAAGGTGGAGGAAGTGGGTGTAATTGTGTAACCATACAACGCTCGTTGGCGTGGCTCCCCCCCCTCGCCCTGCCCTCCCCTCCTGAAACCCCAGCTTCGTTCAGGCTCACGTCTCGCTACCTTCCCTCACCTCATAACGTCTCGCCACTCGCATCCTGTGTTCCTCCATTTCCTCCCCTCGCTCTCTTCCACATCCCCGCAACCGCCCCTTCTGGCAACAGGTGAAGGGTCTCGACGTGGACTCGCTTCACGTCAGCCACATCCAGGTCAACCGCGCGCCCAAGCAGCGCCGCCGCACGTACCGCGCGCACGGTCGCATCAACCGTGAGTAGCCGTCCTCCTTCCCCCCCCCCCCCCGCCCCCCTCGTCCCCTCTTTCCCAAGCTTCCGCGAATTCCTCATCCCACACTTGCACGGACCACCTGCAGCCACCCCTCTTCCCCCACCGCCACCCCACACTCGCACCCACCGCAGCACCTGCACTTGCACAATCATGAGTGAACCTTCTCAACTCTCCCGCCTTCCACGCCCCATCCCTTGTTACACCCTCTCCTTTTGCCCCGCTTCCCTACCCTCCCCCCCCCCCTCCTTTTTTCCTCCAAGCTTCATCAAGCCTTGTTTTTTATTTTTTCCTTCTTCTGCTCCGCTCTTCTGTCCCCCTGCCTTACAACCCACTTTCCCTGCTGTTCCCATGTGCCCTGTCCACCTGTCATCACGATCCTGCAACCCACATGTTTCCGCCCTTCCCCCGCCTGCATGTTTCCCCTTTCCCCGCCTTTTCCCTTGTTTCTGTGCAGCCTACATGTCGTCGCCGTCCCACATCGAGCTGATTCTGTCAGAGAAGGAGGCGGAGGTCAGGAAAGAGGTAAGCCATTGCACGCAATGATGCTGAGGAAACGTGGGCGAGTCGCTATCGGCTTGTCGCAAGGACGTCGGTAAGAGCCATCTGCAATCTGGACAAGGTAAGATGACAACGTCCATGGGGAAAGAACAGATTGAGTTATTATTTTTGGACAGCCCCAAATGTCAGGATGGGCAAATCATCGGGGGCTTGCACGGGTATGCCATCGAAGTAGAGGTAACAGTAGGAGGTTGGATGTCAGGTTTCATTTTACATGTGGTTGCATTTTTTTTTCTTCCCAAACCTTGTTTCTTGTTGTCACAGGCGGAGGAGGGTAGCCGCAAGACCAAGAAGCAGAGCAGGCTTGCCAACTGAAGGCTTGACTAGATGTGGCCAGCATCTGCTATAGAGTGCCCAAATTGCATTGATCGTGAAAGCTTGCTTAGGTCCTCTTGTAAAGGCAGTGTGCTTCATTTCATCTGGGCAACATACATAGTCCTCGTCCAACAAAGAACTACACACAAGAGGGTGGGTGGGCGGGGAAATTGAACTAGAGAAATTAGAAATGAAGAACGTGGGTTAGGCCGAATGGCCTCACGTCCCTCTTTTGTAGGCAAAAGAGGGTGAGTAGCGCTTCGACGCTACCTTTGCTGCGTTGGCCCTCGCTATACTCTCACAATATTATAATTTTTAACACACGTAGTGTTTTTCAAAAATTGTGTATTGTGAAAGCGAAGCTGATTGTACTGAAGCGTTGGGCATCGTCGAAGCGCGCTACTCGCCCTTCTCCAACTACATATACGTGGGTTGGAGCCAGGGCTGACGTTTCAAAAAAAGGCACTCTGAGCTGACCCCCCCAAAAAAAAAAATAGTCTGAATGGCCTTCAGCCAGAATTTAGGGACTCTGAAATGTCAGAGTCCAGAGATGTGCAACTCTGAAATTCTCAGGATCGCACAAGTGTACTCAGGGTTACATTTTATGTTATTAAGAAAAGCTATTCTTGTGTATTACATTTTGCTACATTGGACAGGAGCCTATCTACAACTACTACTACCAAACCAAGCAATCACCACTAGCTAACAGGCACCTAGAACTCCGGCACATCTACAGTAATCTCATCATCACCCCCCTCATCGTCGGACAGGAAAGGGTCGTCGCCTAATGTTGGAGCCGCATCATTCTCATCATCACCCCCATCCTCCTCAGCCCACCCCTCCCCCGCGTACTCTGGCACCTCCCCCTGTCCATCCGTTGTGTCCCCCGCCACCTCACCCTCTAGGGCCTTCCCCTTGCGTTTTCGTTCCGCTCTTGCGAAGACAACAGATCGTGCTGGCCGTCTCAGCTTCTCTCGCCAGGTCGCTAGGGCTTCGGTCCAATTGATGTCATACTGCAGCAGCGAGATGGCCATCAACTCGGAGAGGCGCGCGTTGCAGAGTGAGCCACGGACCCAGGACTTAATCACATTCTGCCGAGAGAAGCCCCTCTCACATTCGACGGTTGACAAAGGCAGCACGGCGCAGGCCTGCCAGAGGCGCATCAGATTGGGCCAGCGCCTGACACGGGGCACAAAAACAGAGGCGGAAGAAAGGCAGTAGGAAATGCATACAGTGAAGGCGGATAACAAAAAGATGCGGTTGGCAAGGGCGGCGATGTTGTGCACACTTGGCAAGTAGAATGGAAGGTGGTGATTCACAAACGACAATATGGTTGGACTTGCCTGCTCGAGTCCGTCTTCGTGAGGTAGTTTGCCAGGCCTTGGTGGAAACTCTCCACCTCGTGATGATTCTGCATGATCGGCGCCCAAGTTGCGAGCTCCCTCTCCGCTGCCTTCACGTCGAAGCCTGGCAGCTTGTGCTCGAAGATGCCGCTGCATCCAAGCAGATACTCTCTCGTCTTCTTCTCGCGCTGCGCCCGTTGTCTCGGCCACTTCGCCGCCACCCAGAGCTTCGTCGGCGACATCTTGCGCAGATCCAGCATCCGCTCTTGTACGTTGGTCATGGTATCCTTGGCGTGCTTCTGGCACAGCTGCACGCAGTCCTTGTAGCTGCTCCCGTACTGGTGCTTGTCGAGGTGCCGCTCGTGCATCTTGTACGTATGGGTGACGGGGTTCCCCTCCAAGTCGATACCGCGCACCTTCACCCGCTTCGTTCCGCCGCGCCCGTACACCGCGAGGAACGCCGAGAGCCAGGTGTTTTCGGCGCCGACACCGAAAATCTCCCCGAAGTCGACATAGCGGTGCCGCAGATCCCCCAGTGTCGCGTCGATGTCCGTTGCCACCTCTGTGACATCGACCTGCGGTGTGAGAGGGGGGGGACACAGAGGAGTGAAAGACATGAGTACTTGCACCAGAGGAGAACACCATGCTTGCAAACATGAGCATCTTACCTCTCGCTTCTGAAACTTGAGGTTGAGGTCGTTCATGAGTGCCAGCATGTCGGCCAGGTAGAAGAGGCAAAACTGAAACTTATACGAAATCACAACCTCATACAGGGGATGCTCATACTCATACAGCAGAACAATAGCAGCACCCAACACTTTACACAGGCGTCGGATTGCCTCTCCCCTGGACAACCATCGAACTTGATGGATGCCTTGAACCTCAAGGTTGGTGCTGTGAATCGCCCGCTGCAGATGCTTGAAACGACTGCTCCATACGCTCGACCGGCCGAGAAGGTCCGCAAGGGTGCGAGTGACTTTGTCGACCATGTCGAGGTCTGGACATGAAGCTGCAGCATCCTTCACAGCAAGTGCTTCTCTGCATGTACCGACATGGGTAGTGGTTAGCACACAGAAACATAAGCATAAACACACAGCAAGGAATACTTTAACAAACCTGTGGGCGATGCAGTGGGAGGAAAAAAGGTGCGGGATGATGTCTCGCAGTCGCGCCACAAGCCCGTTGTCTCGGCCGACCATCACCGACGCGCCGTCTGTGCTGATGCCAACGATGCGTTGGAGGTCGATGCCGGACGACTCCAGGTGGGCTAAGAGAGTGGCCATAAGAGAAGCGGCGTCGCACTTGTCAACGTTTAGCAGGGCTAGGAATTCGGTGACGACTCGACGCAGCCGCATGAATGTGATGTAGACGATCAAGTGCTTTCCCCGCGTGCGGTCGGTGCTTTCGTCGCATGAGATGCCGAGGTAAGGTGAGCTCTTGATGTGCTCCATCTGAGTAGCCAGCAGATGCGTAGAGAGACAGTTGACCATCTGCTGGAACCCGTACCTGCAGTGGCATAATCAGAAGTGAGACACTGGTTAATTAGCATTGGAAATGCATTGAAATTTACAAGGTTCATATCAAAATCCAACCATCAACCGGCGAAAGCCAGGTAGCCTTACCTGGTGAGATACACTCCGTACGACTGGAGAGGTATGTCTGGTGTGTCTTGCTCTGCCATGAAACGAAGCAGCCGGGGAAACATGGCGATAGGAGCGTCGTTCTTGCAAAGAAATTCCACGCACCGCAAAAGACGGATGACGCGGCGGCCTTCGACATCGACGGTGGCGAAGCTTGTCATCTTCTGCTGCTTGTCTTCAATTTCCTTTTGAATCTCGAGCTGCCGGCGAACTGCCGCTTCGTGGACTGTTGAGTGTTCATGAATGCGCATCGTCTGTGTCTGGAGATCTCGCCCGCCGTCGCCTGGCCTTGAATACTTCGTCGTTTCTTTGCCGAAGGCTCGGCAAACGCTGCACTTAAGAGCGGGGTAGCCATCTTTACTACGGGTAAGTACAAGCCATGGGAAATAACGCAGCCAATCATTCTTATACTTAGCCTCCGCGACTAGGTACTTCTGCTCGATCAATTCCTCTGTACTTAGCCTCGGTGGCGGCGGTTCATCAGGGCGGGTGACGGGGGTAGGTGAGCGCGGTGGTGAGGGAGGGCGAATCTGGCCACCTGAGTTGATACGCTGCTGTGTATACTTCGTCGTACGTTGTTTCTTCGCCGAAGAGACAGTCGATGCGCACGGCACACTATAACGAACGGTAGAGGCAGTGGCGCAGTCAATAGGATCCACTGGTCCTCTGCTAGAAGATGCTATGGCTGGTGGGAGAACGAACGGAGCGGGGGCAGGTCTACTAGGCAACGATGGCTCATCGCGTGGGGTCTCGTTTACAACGGTTATGGCGACAAAAGGCGGAGGAGCCGATGCGGCAACGGGCCGCAAGACATCTAGGGCGCTCCTTGGCGCAACGACAGGAACCTTACTGCTGCGCGGCTCATCACCGTCAGCTGGAGCATCGTCGTCGCCATCCTTTTCAGGCATGGCGAGAGGAGAAACGACGAGTAGGAAATGAAGATAGTGACTACAACTACGTCTGTGTCGAAATGAACAACATGAAGGATTTCCCCTCTAAAACCTGAAGCAGTGCGTTCGAAGGTGGTGGGTAAGGAACAACTGGAGAAGAAGGGGTCCATCAAACCCGTGTCGCACCTTTCTTGAAAGGCGTGACGCGGTTTCGGGACTTGTCCATGCACAACACAGCGCCATGCTGCCTAGTCGATGTGTTGGCTGCAACTGCAGCCAATGGGGATGATGGCCAACCTCTGCAAGGCTGGCACAGAGGGCACGGGCCCGAAGTTCGCGCATGCACAGAGAGCAACAGAGCAGAATCTGTGGTCCTTAGTGGCTCGGCGTGGCAGCATTTTTGCTGCGCTGGGTAGCAGAGTGCCCACTGTGGGCAGAGTATTCATTGGACTTGGCGGATTTTTCAAGGAAGTGTGGATTCTCCACGTGACGCGGGCGGGAATCACTGATGGCATGCGAAATTTCTAGGGATCTTGCGTGCCCCGTGGAAATCTGTTTCAGGGTTCGTACCCGATGTACTCTGAAAACTCAGTATTGGGTTAGCGTGAACTCTGATTTTTTCAGGATCCCTAAAGTCTAAGTCTGAATCGATCAGGATTGGGAAAATGCCTTATCTGGAAATTCAGGTTTAGCCAAAAAACCGGTCTGAGATTTCAGACTAATCAGAGCAAATAGTCTGATAAAGTCAGCCCTGGTTGGAGCTCATTTACCTCCACCCACGTCTCTCATTTTTCAAACGGCTCAGTCAACCTTCCCGCTCTAGCTTTTCTCCCGTTCAAGCTGGCTAAGACTAGAACTTTGCCTCGCGGCGAGTCTCCCTCGACTCTTCTCTCCGACATTTTTAAGTTTCACCGATCCGTCATGGCTCCGACTACGAATAATCGCGGCGAGTCCAACGTCGTCACCGGCCACCCCAATTCCGAGTCTACTCGCCAAGCCCCGGAAATTGCGGGCGACCGGCGCAACAAGCGTCGGGCAGAAGAAGGGGCAACCGCCCCAACTGGGGTTGACGTTCTGCTGGGAGGGGGCGAGGTCAACAGTCAGCTTGCTGACGCGCCCCCGCCCCCTTCTGAGCCACACGCGCAAGTGGCTGGGCAGAGCCAGCCACTCGCGCCTGACGCCGAGCAGCAGCACGCGCCAGCCCCGCAAGTGGCGGGCCCCTCTCGCCAGCGCAAAAGGGGGCGCGCGGCTGCCTCGTCTGACGTGCCGCCCACCCCGACATTGACCCCGGCGTTGACCCCTGCGCAGGTCAACGCGCTGTTGACGCTGTTACAGCAGCAGGCGACGAGTGTTACGGCCGCCGACACTGCTCAACCTGCTGCTTCTGAATCTGCTAAAAAAGAACCTGCAAAAACAGAAAAGGCCACACGCGGAACCAAGACGCCACGCCTCGCTAAGGACGCCATCGCCAGCATCCCGCCTGCCCCGGCGGCCGACAACGACAGCGACGACTCCGACAATGACGCTGGTGAGGTCCCCGGCACTGCTGCAAATTCAATTCCCATGGAGCATCTCCCACCACTCCCGACCACTCACACCACCCTCTCGGCGGCGTCTTTCCTCAACGCGGCCGTACGCGAGCAAGCGGAAGTCCTGGAGGACCTTCGGGCATACCTGAAGCACGCCGAGTTCAAGGTGCAGCACGGCGACGCGCCGGGCGGCCTCGAATTCCTCGCCGACGCGCTCGCCCTCATATCACGACGCTTCGACGTTCTCCAAGTCGAAGACGCCTCCGACTTCCGCACGGCCAAGCGTTTCAAGCTGTACCAGCAGAAGAGTTTGCTTACCTCAAGGCCTTTCAAGCAGGCCGTCGCTGACGTGGCCGCAATGGACCGCGCCGAGGGCGGATTTGCTCGTGGAAATCGCGGAGGCGGCCGCATGCCCACGCCGTTCGTGCCAAAGCGTGGTCCGCCGCCTACGGGAGAATTCCATGGCTTCCGAGGCACTTGCTTCCGCTGTGGCCAGCCGGGGCATGTGGCCAGCGGCTGCCCGGCGATTGGGCATGGTGGCCAAGGACTCTCACCAGTGGTGTAGGGGTCGGGCCATGGGCGCTTGCGCAAGTGGCGCAAGGCGCAAGGCACCCGGTGTGTGCGTAGGCCATTGGGCCCACCCCTTAGGGGCACGGGTGGCAGAGGGCCAGCCCTAGTGTAGGCCAATTGAAGGCCCTAGGATCAGAGCAAGGGAAGGGGAACATGCCCCCTCGGTCCCAAATGATAGCCCGACCTTGCAAGGCGGACTTTGCATGCCTAGGAGCATGTTGAGTAGAGATAAAGCTTGGTTAAAATAAGGAGCCACGGTCCTTCATTTTTTTTCAGGTCTTGGTCCCCTAATATAACCATTGAAAAGGGGGAGCAGCACCACAAGAGGCGCAGCAAAAAAAAAAAAAAAAAAAAAAAGAGGTGGGGGGGGGATTGAGCACGGAACGGGGAAGCATAGTGGGTGGCTCAACCCCCGCTGCATGTCACGCAGCACCCCCGGCCGGAGAAGGAAGGCCATCAGGAACACCAATGGCCCGCCACTTACCCACACAGCGTTGCTCCTCGATTGGACATGCAAAAAAAAAAAAAAAAAAAAAAAAAAAAAACAGAATTCAAGCATTATGCGAGCCTTCACAAGGCGCCTACCCTCCAACCCGGTGTGCTACACCCTGGACCCTAAGCATTACCCCCCCGTGGGCATACAGGAACAGCCACACCAGCCTCATCTAGGGCTGCCCAGCTTGGCATTGGAAAAAAAAAAAAAAAAAAAAAAAAAAAAAAAACGAGTCACATAAGCATGCGCGCACGCACGCGGTATGGCCCACGAACGGGAACAGCAACACAACACCGCACGCATGCCACACAAGCACACAAGAGGTGGCTAGAAGAAAGACAAAAAAAAAAAAAAAAAAACACGGGCGTTGAGTCTCAAAACCCAAGAAATGATAGCGCAAGCGAAGGCGGCAATAAGAGGGTAACATGCGTTCGCGAGTAGAAGCGCGGGTGAAGGCACAAGTTGTGGGAATACGAGGGCACCAAGGGAAGCAAACGTCGGGGCTCAGGTTCGAACGCAAGCTCGGCATGCGTAGGCGTGCAAACCGACACACACGCAGGTCACGCCGCTCAGACACGCTCAAAGCGCAGGCACC